GATAAAACACATTGTCAAACTCGTGTCAAAATACGCAAAGTAAATTGTTTTCAATCAAACTCTGCTAAGCTCCCAAGCAGCATTTTTTTAGTTTACCTATCTGCAAATTTCACTGATCATCCATGGGAATATTTTTTTCATAAGTTTATGTGTGTATGGTAAAGTTAATGTTCATGGACAATGCTAAAAATCTCATCCTTCTATGACCTTATATAGCCATACACAGAGGAATGTTCAAGGTCTCCATGATTGTCTGGATGTGGTGCCAGAATTTTCTCACTGGCTTGGCTCATCTTCATTCATCAATACAGAGCTTTTTAGCAGCCCATCTTGTGACTTCATTAGCTTGGCTGCCTTCAACAGAAAGCTCCATTGTACTAGTGATTCTCCACAGACTACCTTCTGCTCAGTTTTCTGCTAATTAATTGATGCCACCTCTTAGCCAACCAGCTGGTGTGTTTAGAAAAAAAGGGAATAAACCCCAAAGTCCTGAACTTTCCCAGTAGGGTTGGAATGCTGCCAGCAACTTTTCTAAGCCTAGACCTCCCAATTGAGAAGTGCAGAAATTTGGAGACCCTGTTCTGAATGCAACTTGGCTGTGCATTCTGAGGCCATGTCTTTACTGCACTCGAGATTGATGCTGTAGTGGTTGATTTTCTGCATTCGATTTAGTGGACCTAGTAAAGACTTGCTAAATCAAACACTGAGGGTGCCCCCTGTCGACCATGATACTCCTTGTAGTCATGAGGAGTAAGGGAATTTGACAGGAGCATTTTTCCCATCGACCTCCCACTTTGAGGAGGGCACCAAAACTCTTCTTAATGTACATTGACTCCAGCTATGTTATTTACGTTGCTGGAGTTGCATACCTCAAGCCCACCTTCCAGCTTTAGTATAGACGAGACCTGACATAGACAAGACCCATCTCTTGAGCTCATGGTGACTTCTCTGCTCAATAATCATTTAGTCTGGACCTCAGGTACTTATTCAAGAAAACTCCCTTTGTGCTATGATCTTTCTGAAGTTCATAAGCTCTGTCTCCTAAAAGTCTTTTGATAGAGGTTTGCCTGCCAAATGACTTTCATGGTCATCTCAAATAGTCTCACAGTTTTACCAGTCAGTAATACCACAGTCGATGTCCTAAATCTAGGAGCTGATATGATCTAGGGCTGGGATTTGCAGATACCAGCATCTTGGCAGGAGTTGGAATCATACACGTACTCTCTGATCCAGCACAGCACTCAAGCACTTGTTTATCTTGAAGCATGTGCATATTCCCATAGCCTGTGGTAAAATGATGATGTGCTTACAGTTAAACACTTACTATACTGGGCTAGGCACTCAGCAACTCAGCATGTCCACACCATACTGAGCTCTCTGGCAATCACTTATTGCATGAAAAAGTGATGAATGACCACAAAACCCAGAGGAGAATGGAGAAATGCTGCCATCTCTAACTTAATTATTTCATCCGAGTTAATGAAAACTGGGTACCTCATCACAACTCAATTACAGGGCAGATTGTATGAATATTTGATCAAATCCAGGCTGATATCAAACAAGGAAGAGAATGAAGCTTTAAAATGTACTGTGATGAGCTTGAGGCTATATAAAATGTGTTTAAAAAGCTGCTGGAAGACAGATTAACGTGTAGCGCAGAGAGGAGAGAAGGAATTCTGAAAAACGCATTGAGCCATCTGGCATGTTGCTCTGGTGGAATAACAACATGTATCAGAAGACAAAAAAGAATCACCATATGGGTTTAGCTGCCAAGGTAATTCTCATGTGTTGTCAGTCTCACTCATGCTCGAGTCTTGGACCCATTTCTGGAATTGAAGCAATGGCTACCAGAATAAGTGGAAGATTATGGCTATGTCTACACTACGAGTTTTTGCGGCAGAAAATATCCTAAGGAGGGACTCACTAGTATAAGTCACGACATCATTAGCATATTTTCTGTAGTTTCTTTTTGTGCAAGGGGTTTTTGCAGAAATATTAGTGTAACTCCACTGAATTTATTTGGGTTAATGCTTATTTACACTGGAGTACATGAAATCAATATCAAGTCCATTATATTCTGCATCCTGGAAAGACAGAAAGTTACATATGCATGTGCAGAGTGGCATGTGTTACCCAAGTAGAAGCAATGGGGTTGAGAAAATGTTAACACGGTGCAGAAATATTATAAAAATGAAACCATTTTCTTGAGATTCCATCATTTTTATATCATGATCCCAAGCTATGACAATATTATCCATATTATTCAGCTTGTGTTTTTGAAGATTTCCTGGTTTTCTGAAACACTGTATGGTGAACAAGAGACCCCATCAATTCTGCAAGATGCTTATAAGATTTTGTTTAAAAGTGATGTTTCTACCTAATGCCCTAATTCTTCTCCAATAAAGGAATTTCTTCGGGGTCTAAAATGGTATTTTCTGAGTCTGTTCCAAATATAGAAAGCTCTGAATTAGGTAGAATAAAACAAGCACTTTCCTTTCCTCCATGAACTTGACTACACAAACTATGAACAGCCCTTTATATAAAGTATTGATACGAAAGCCACTGAGTTTGCCTTGATGATGCGAAAGAGGAGACAATTTGCTACAAAACAGACTCTTTGTGCACAGCTGGATTTAATCATGTTTATAAATACAGTTTTTAATATAATGTTCTTCTTCAGTGGCATCAGCATTGCACTTAAAGCATACATTGTCTGATTAGTTCTTGACCCCAAATGAGTTTTGTCTATTTTCTGTGCTTCTAAATACACATTTGCCATATGCTGCATCATATGTCACTTTCCCAGCTAATGCCACTTGGGACTAAGTGTTATGAGGCTTTTATAATAATCTCATGGCTGTTAGAGTCAAATCTGGGAAACAAAGTTTTGTCAAAAAGAGGAAAACTTTTGTGAAACCGAAAACGTGACAACAGCATCCAGAATATCAGCATTGGCATGAAACCCAAGACCCTCATCATGTCCTCCTGGCCCTAGACCTTGAGGGCCAAGTTCAGTCTAGGCATCAATGTATTCCCAGAATGAAGAGTGGCTAGCACATTAAACACTTTCAGCAAGGGTTGTGAGTGCCCATCAGTCGAGACACACTTCCTGGTATCTTCCAGCACCATTCAGCAGAACAACAACAATATCACGGCACCACAGCAGCCATATCAACCCAGCACTGGGTCTCTCTTGCATTTCAATAATATCCACCCTGGTTTCTACATGGAAAAATTTCAAATTGCCACTATTAAGCATTGCAGGAATATAACCTCTTTGAATCCTCTCTAAGGGTATGTCTACATTAGCCACTCTAGTTCGAACTAGGGTGACTAATGTAGTCATTCGAACTTGCAAATGAAGCCCAGGATTAAAATATCCAAGGCTTTATTTGCATGTTCCCGGGTGCATACATTGCAGAGGAGTAATGGTAGTCGGAATTAGGGGCTTTAGTTCGAATTACCTAGCCCGTGCCACGTGCAGCCGTGGGTGGGGAGTCCAAACTACCGGGCATTTAAAAATGGCGGCGCCCGGGAACATGCAAATAAAGCCCAGGATATTTTAATCCTGGGCTTCATTTGCAAGTTCGAATGACTACATTAGTCACCCTAGTTCGAGGTAGGGTGGCTAGTGTAGACATACCCTAATTCTCCAAGGGGTCATTGTCTCAGTTCAGTGACAAAGTGGCTTTTTAAGATGGGAAAGGTTTAACGCTCCTGTTATTACTTGATCGTACCCTCAGCAGGGTATTGTTTCTTCCACGTGCCCATATAATTCTCATTAACGTCCAAAGGAGTGACTGCCTTGGACTAGAGTATTTTCTTCTTTTCACTTCCAGTTGAGAGGGAATTGCTGCTGCAGTAGCTAAAAGTGGGAGATAGGGAAAAGGGTTTAGGATGAAACCGAAAAGCCATAAAAGCTGGAATGGAGGGAGATGTGCCCAAAAGAGGCTGCATTCCCTTGCTTCTCATTTTTAGAGATACAAGCTACCTTTGGATTTCAGATAAGCCTCCATCTTCAAACACAGCTGCGCAGCTGGGAAATTTTATAAGATGCGGATGCCAGTTCTAGCTCCAAATTTAGCCTCTGAGACCCTTCCAAAAGGACTACAAGGGTGTGTCTAGACTACAGGAGTTTTTTGAAAAAAGTGGCCTTTTTTCAAAAAAACTTCCCCTGTGTCTAGACTGCTGCTGCGTTCTTTCAAAAGTAAATCAAAAGAACGCGGCAGTTTTTTTGACCACGGAAAACCTCATTTTACGAAGAAGAATGACTTTTTTTTTAAAGTGCTCTTTTGAGAAAAGGCGCTATGTAATGCAAACTGTGCTTTTTCAAAAGAAAGCGTCCAGACAGCCTGGGTGCTCTTTCGAAAAAGCAACTTGCTTTTTCAAAAGTACTGGTTGTAATCTAGATGCTGTTTTTCGAAAGAGGCTTTTTCGAAAGTATCTTTCGAAAAAGCCTCTTTTGAAAGAGGCTTGCAGTCTAGACATAGGCCAACTGTAATGGCTACCAGAGTCCCCTGACTACATTTCCCAGCATGCTTTGATTCAAGGGCAGGGACAGAAGGCTCTAGAAAACAGTGCTGGAGCCAATAGGAAGGCTTTCACATGGTACAATCAGTTCATGGACCAATGATAAGCCAGGGCTGCATTGACCTCTGCAAAGGGATAGACTGACTTAGAAAGATAAAGGGGCCATGGGCTCTGGTAGTAGTAAGGCTTTTGGCTGGTGGATCCATGTAGCTCATATCTATTGGCTATTCATATTCCTTCCCTGATTCATCCACATCACTTCCCCACCCAAACATCCCTCCTGAGGGAGAACCAATAGGAGCTGTGCCTGGGCTTGCCAGCCCCTCCGCAAGCTAGTATGAATCCAGCACAGTTAAGTATAGCACCCAAGCCCATGCTGTATGTGTGAGTAGCACAAGCTTGGCTTGGATTCTGGGAAAGCACGCAGCTCGCTAGCCCACACTGTATTATGTTCACTGCTATTTTTACAGGCATCACAAGGGTTCAGGCTCACTCAGGAAAACTAGTCTGTGCACAGCTTTTACTGTGTAGATGTACCTTAAAAATTCGGAGTCCTGCGCAATCTCTCTGCAGTCTGGTTTCCTTGTGCTATCTCCTCTGTGTTGAAGCTTTCAACCCCTGCTGGTTGATGGAAGCTGGTCCCTGGAGAAAAACAGCTCTCTGTAGGCCTTTCACCTCTTCTCTAATTTACATCAGGTTAGTGGAGGAAATTATGTCTTCTTGCATTCTAACACATTTGCTAACATATGAATGTATGCAAGCTCCCTAGCCATTCCACAACCAGGGCTGTCCTTACAAAGCAAAATGGTCCTTCATCTGGATATGCAAATTGCACCAGTTGTTATAGCAGGAATCGTGTGCAGTCCTTGTCAGAGGTATTTCTACACTGCAATTAAACACCCATGGCTGACCAACACTCATGGGGCTCAGGCTGTGGGATTATAAAAATTAGACATCCAGACTGGTGCTCAGGTCGGAACGCTGGGCTCCATGCTCCACACTGAGCCTAGATATCCACCCTGCAGTGGAGCCCCACTAGCCCAGGTCAGCTGACATGGGGTTAATTGCAGTGTAGACAAATGATGACACATCAGTCATGTCAAAACCTTCTCCGGGATTCATTAATGCTCTGATAGGGAGAGAGGGAGGGAGAGAGAGAGAGAGTGAGAACAATCCCCCATGGCCAGAGTCAATGTAGGATTGTATAGATTCCTTTAGTTGGACTTTTTTTTTTTTAAAGGAACAAAACCCCTTCATGACAATAATATGCCTTCTATCATCTTTTTCTTTTCAGACATTAAGTTTCATTTGCATGCTGAGCCTGGAATGGAAACATATTCATCAGTTGTTCATTAATTATTATTATTTGCTGTATTGCTTTAGAGTATCTCAAGGGTCCATCCAGATTGTGCTAGGCACTATATGGACATATGACAAGAAGACTGTCCCTGCCCCCAAACAGCTTATAATGTAGATATAACACAAAGATGTAACAGGTGAATACAACAGATTGGGAAGCTCAATGTAATTCTAAAATGATTCTGATCAATTATCATCTCTCATTCTTCACTGATTCTCTAGCGGAAACATTTCGCTTTAATCGGGGATTCAGTGCTATTCTGATTCACCTATTCTTTCAATCACCACAGTGATTTACTTTCAGCACCATTAAGGAAAGGTACAGTATGCATCCCCATGAAGTGTGATACCATTTAAGTGGAACAATTTCTTGTTGTATTATTATCATCCATACAGCTAGGGAGTAAAAAAACACAACCTCTGTAATCAAAGCATTTTAGCTTATCAGTGTCTTTTGTCCTTTGGCAATGTGCAGTCTCCCATTCCGTTTATATGCAGCTGCTGTCACAAAACAACAGGTTTTATGTTATAATGATTTTTTTTTTAGAAAAAAATAAACTTGTATGACTGGGCTTAGTGAGAGGCAAACCTCAAACAACCAACATTGTGGGACCAAATCCTGAGGAGGTGCTGAGGACAATGGGAGTTTAGCTGCCCTGCATTTTCTAGCTGTCCAACCTGTGTGATCCTGCCAGGTGCCTGGAGTCAGGTGGAGAATGCCGAACACGGATCCCATTGAGTTCAAATGTCTTTGACCCAGAAGACAAACAACAGAATCAGACTACATGAAATTAGCTGAATCACCTGGGTCTGCAAAACTGAAATATAAATCTCTGGAGAACAGGGTTTTCTCATGAATTTTTCTGTATTTTCTGTTTCTAGTCATACTGGAAATGCTACAATATTGACCTCTCTCACTCAATCGCCGTACTTCTTGTTTCTTGTCCCAGTGGGAAGTGTGTGAAAATACAAATGGGTGAGAAAAAAATTCACATACTTCTGTGCTTTTTATCCCCACCATATAAGGTCTCAATCTGTACAGATCTGGTTTGTCTTTGAATTAAAGTTTTATGTTCACTTTTAATGCAAACCTATAGCCCATCCATGATCTATACCTCACTAGTTTTGATTGCTGTTCAGCAATTTTCCTCCTTAAGGACCAAATTTCCAGAGAGGATTCCCAAGGGTGCAGCTATAAAACTATAAATTCGTAGACAGATACATACTCAATACATACATAGACAGATATTTGCTTAGTACATCCGCAGAAGTTTTTAATGTCATTTCAATCGTTTGGTATGTTGGGAGAAAACTGAGTCCATTCAATTATGAAATTCTTTTAAAATCCTAAAATAACTCTATATGTACAGATGATGGAAGAGAAATCACTTTCTATCTATAATGGAAAGTAACTGCAGTTTGGCTGGTTTCTACAGTATCATTTCATACATTTATTGCATAAAAGCAACCTGTGGACAACTCTTGCAAGTTTAACTTGAGTGTCACAATAACTGATGTTTTTCTTAAAGCTCCATCTCTTAGATTCATGTGATTTTGTGAGACTCTCAGCTTTCAGTTTAAGAAAAGAAAGTTTATAGCAATCATAGTTACAATGTGAACCTCTCAACACTCATAAAACAGAAAACTAATAAGGATATCTCCATATTTACTACTTTTTTAAATCTTGTGATTTATTAAACCAGTCTCATGTTTTTGGTCAGCCTAACACATGAGTTTTGAACTTTCTGCGGTTGGCAAACATGTAATAACAATGAGATGCTTTGGCAAGAAGAATTCTGGGTGGTTATTACTATTATTGAAACATACTGTTCAAGAGTGGATAATGCAATGGGCAGAGTTTTAGAACTCTCAGATTCTGCTCTTACTCGGTCGCTGTTTGAGTGTATGACTTTGGGCAAATCACTTAACTTCTCTGTGCTTTAGTTGATTTGGAAAACCTGGGCAATGATCACCTTATGAAGGTAGTGTAGTATTTCATTAAAATTGGTAGAACACTTTGAGATCAAGTGCAATGTGAGTTTATTTTTGTTATACCATGTCATAACTGCTCACATGGACATTGTCTACCCTATATTAGTGCTCTGTTAAAAGTGGTCAGTTGTCTTCAACCCAAACATTCAAATTATCATAACAACAATGAATAAACTGACTGGTTAGTTCTCATATTCTCTTGAAATTTCCTCACAGTCCTAGTTATAACTTTTTCTTTCCTAAGGCCAGTTCTATACTCATAGGGAATGTTGAATGAAGATACACAACTCCAGCTACATTCATTACATAGCTGGAGTCGGCATACCTTGTTTCACGTTTCCCTGCCGTCACCACAGTGGAAGGTCAATGGGAGCAAATATTTCCATTGGCTTCCCTGACTCCTTGCATAAGCACGAATACCAACAGCTGGCTGGGGTACTCTCTGAGTTTGATTTAGCAAGTCTTACCTAGACTCACTAAATCAAACTCCGAAAGATCAATTGTGGCAGTGGCAATCTTCCATTTAGTGTAGACATGGCCTTAGTCTTTTCCTCCTTAATGAAGCATTACCATAGAATGGAGAGATCCAATAAATAGCCCCACTGACACAACAGTGATGATCCAGTGGCTTTACTTAACAGTGTTCTGGAGCTTCTGTAACAGCTGAATTCACCAGATACTCCTACTCACTGTTTCACGAGCATCTCAAAAACACAACACACATGCCTCATTCATTAGAAAGCTGGAAACATGCTGTGTCTTATTGTAAGTTGTTGACTATCTGCCAAAGCAGTTTTTAAGTCAAACCTCAGTTAATACACCATAACAAGAAAGAACGTGTAGTCCAAAAGACACAGATGGCCTTACTTTTCTATAAGAGGTTCAGCCAGAAATCCTAAGGCAACCAGCAAGAGCAGTGATCTATGAAGATCCAACTTTACAAAATATCTGTGATAAATTGCAGGGGGCAGGTTACATTCCAAGCAGCTGGCAGTGTGATGCAATCATCTGAAGTGTCTGTATACAAATTATGGCCACCTTAATCAGCCAATTCTTGCCATCTGTATTTTGATACAAGCCAGTCAAGCCTTTTATTTAAAATGAAAATAAGAGTGTCAGCATCTGTGACAGCTAAACTCTACTTTATCAATGAATGATGAAAGAATCAGGGAAAAAATGCACACCTAAGAGTACAGAGGAGGCAGAAAGACCCAGCTAGTCAAGCCTACAGCTATGAAAGAGACTGGTCTTGTAGTTACATCATTGAACTGGCACTCAGGATATCTATATTGAATTCCTTGTTCCACTATATGCTTTGTGTGTGATCTTGAATCACTCTGTGGGTTGGTTTCCCAGTTGTGAAATAATTAATACATTGATTGAAAAATAAATGACATCAGTTCTTTTTTCAAAAACTTATTATGAAAAAAACTGATTGGCAACATGTGCATTTCAACAACAAAAAACCCTGAGAAATCTTACAGTTGGTGATTTTTATTTTATAAATTTTGGCAGGGGGGTTTCTTTTCTCTTTCTTTTCAGAGGCGAGATAGAAAAAAAGGAAAAATGGTGAAAAAATGCTAACAATGAAAAAGGGAAAAATTAAACTGAAGACTTTTGGTAAACAATTTATGGGAAAAAAATCAGTCTGTTCTTTTAATGGCATAGATGGTGTGATTGAGACCATTTCCAGTAATCTTTTGATATTCATGCCATTTCCTGTCCATCATTAGTGAGGCAATTTACCTTCCAATTTCTGATTCTTTGTTCTCCACATTTTACTTTTTCGTAGCCCATCACATTTCTCCTTCATATCATTGAGGGCTGCCAGAAACAGGTAGATTTTTCCAGCTCTCAGAGCTAGAACACATCAAAAATGAAATTTCCAGCTTGTAGGAAATTCAGTTATTTCAGCACTTGTTTGCATCCCAAATTGGAAAGAAATGTTACAACATCAACATTTTTTTGGAACAAAAAAAATAACAAAAAAAGGGAAAACCCCAAAAGTTATGTAAAATTTTGTCTTGGAAATGTCAAAGCATGGAATCCCTTGATGCATGGCAGCAACTCAGATACCGGAAGGACCATGGTGCCTGCTGAAAAGAAGGAACCAGGAGCTACAACTGCCATGAGAAACTGCAATGGCACAAAAGATATTAGTGTCAACCTGGGGGAAAAAAAAGATTTCATTTTGATTTTTGCTGATGGAAAAGTTTGCTGAAATGGATCTTTTCTCTTGGCAAATTTTGATTTCAATTGTTGAGTTTCTAATAATTCTTCACATGTAGGGATTTAGGATGGGATTTTCAAAAGCAAGCTACAACTGCCATGAGAAACTGCAATGGCACAAAAGATATTAGTGTCAACCTGGGGGAAAAAAAAGATTTCATTTTGATTTTTGCTGATGGAAAAGTTTGCTGAAATGGATCTTTTCTCTTGGCAAATTTTGATTTCAATTGTTGAGTTTCTAATAATTCTTCACATGTAGGGATTTAGGATGGGATTTTCAAAAGCACCTAAGTGAGTTAGAAACACAAGTCCCATTGACTTTAAATGGGATTTGTGCTCCTAAATCAGATGAGTGTTTTTTTTAAATCCTGCCCTTGTTGCTTTGACATGGGAGAACATTCAAAGCATCCTAAAATCCTTAGAAGTTTTAGTATCACATTGCACCTGCAAAGTGCAGATGCATCTTTGCAAGTGGGCAGTTTTGTGCATGAATAAGCCAAGATTGAGTAAAAGGAGAGAGAAGTCCAGCCTAAAATGTACTACTATATGGCCATGGATTTTGTTTTCTGATCACAATCTCATTCAGTGCTAACCTTTGCAAACAGACTTCAAAATGTGGCACTCCTGAAATATAAGCCAAAGAGGCAAATATTCACCTGTCACTGTCATTGTTCCTCACCCTCTTTTCAGTTCCTATATATTCACACTGTTGGCTCACGTCTAATTCCCCTTCTACCATATTTCTTCCTCTTTCTTTGCTAGAAAATCCGGTTACCGTCAGCTTGTAGCATGACTTCTGGCGTGATTTGGGTTCCAAGTCAGGTCCATTTCTTGTGTTAATTGTAGATTTGGTTTACACAAAAACTTACATAACTGTTACAAAGGCCAAATTCTTTTGGGAAAAGGAAAATTCTTACTCCATAGAACAAGATCTTTATCCTAATGCAGAGCTGCTACTTGAGCTCAGCGGTAATTTAGGGCTATTTGAAGAACAGATGTGATGGTTGCTTTTCTTACGTTCATGGCCTACAAACAGAATTTAGACAACATAAAGCACTTTGTCAAGAAGGCTGCAACATAACACAACTTTATTTCTTAAAATCCAGGACTTTAAATGCATCAGAACCCCAAACCAGAGAGAAACCAAGCAGTTTGCTCCTTAAGGAAGAGGGGAACAACTTAGCCCACCTTGCTGCAGGCTGGCACTGAGCAGACTGAGTCTAATCACATGCTTCCCTATAGAGCCCATTAGCCAGGAAACTCCTTGCAAATTAAAGCAATAGCTTACAATTCCT